CTGCCACCCTCAAAGTGAAGAAATTCCTCCTCATGTTTAGATGGAACTTCTTATGTTCCAGTTTGTGCCCATTACCTCTTGTCCTGTCACTGGTCACCACTGAAAAAAGACTGGCTCTAGTCATTCCCTCTCCATAACCACAGCACTACAATTACACATTTACCTCTGACAGAAAACACACCCTCCTTTACTGCTTGGCAGAGAAATCAATGTTGAGAACTGCTACAAACCAGAAAGTCAACTCTACTTCCTCTCTCTTGGGAAATGAGCCCAACCTGGCTGTGCTGGGTGGCAGGGAGTGACAGTGGTGACAACAACAACCATCTGCATCACTGGGAGAAGGACAGGCACAAATACACGTGAGCCTGTGTCCTCCTCTGAAAACATCTTCATCACTGCCATCACTGCAATCAGTGAGGAAAGAGAACTAAGGACTTTTTCAAGATGCTCTTCTCTTCCCTTCCCTTCATTTTCACACATTTTCAGAGCCATTACCCATTACCTCTTGTCCTGTCACTGGTCACCACTGAAAAAAGACTGGCTCTAGTCATTCCCTCTCCATAACCACAGCACTACAATTACACACTTACCTCTGACAGAAAACACACCCTCCTTTACTGCTTGGCAGAGAAATCAATGTTGAGAACTGCTACAAACCAGAAAGTCAACTCTACTTCCTCTCTCTTGGGAAATGAGCCCAACCTGGCTGTGCTGGGTGGCAGGGAGTGACAGTGGTGACAACAACAACCATCTGCATCACTGGGAGAAGGACGGGCACAAATACACGTGAGCCTCTGTCCTCCTCTGAAAACATCTTCATCACTGCAATCAGTGAGGAAAGAGAACTAAGGACTTTTTCAAGATGCTCTTCTCTTCCCTTCATTTTCACACATTTTCAGAGCCATTACAGGTTCTTACTAGTCACACCACTGGGGGGAGAAGTGTTCTCAGGCCCACAACCAGGTGTTCCCTTGACATGCCAAGTGCCACAGGTCCTGAGTCCACGGGACAGATTAAGCTTTATCTCTAATTAAATGGTTTACCATCTAAGCTTTAATAGGATGAAGGAGCCAGGAAGAATCAGAGCTAGTTCAGTCTAGTGCTACACAAACAGATCTTTGTTTTGCTTAAGCAGGCGCTAAAGACATTCCTTCCCACTGGTGTCACGACCCCAAACTTTTGCTACAGTAAAATTTCATCAAAAGAGTAATTTTACAGTCTCAGAACCTTTTGAAACTAATGTTTTTCAGTGTAAATTTACACCTATTAGAGACAAAAATTGACGTCAGAAAAGTAAGCATTGGAAGTAGCAAAGATTTTCAAGGATGGTCGATGGTGAAAATGGTTGGAGTTTCACTCCCATGTTATCCTGCGTGGGTGTGGAAACCTGTAAACACCTTATCATTGTACAATGAGATTTTAACATCTGACTGGCTCTAGTCATTCCCTCTCCATAACCACAGCACTACAATTACACATTTACCTCTGACAGAAAACACACCCTCCTTTACTGCTTGGCAGAGAAATCAATGTTGAGAACTGCTACATACCAGAAAGTCAACTCCACTTCCTCTGTCTTGGAAAATGAGCCCAGCCCAGCCGTGCTGGGTGGCAGGAGTGACAGCAGTGACAACAACAACCATCTGCATCACTGGGAGAAGGACGGGCACAAATACACGTGAGCCTCTGTCCTCCTCTGAAAACATCTTCATCACTGCAATCAGTGAGGAAAGAGAACTAAGGACTTTTTCAAGATGCTCTTCTCTTCCCTTCATTTTCACACATTTTCAGAGCCATTACAGGTTCTTACTAGTCACACCACTGGGGGGAGAAGTGTTCTCAGGCCCACAACCAGGTGTTCCCTTGACATGCCAAGTGCCACAGGTCCTGAGTCCACGGGACAGATTAAGCTTTATCTCTAATTAAATGGTTTACCATCTAAGCTTTAATAGGATGAAGGAGCCAGGAAGAATCAGAGCTAGTTCAGTCTAGTGCTACACAAACAGATCTTTGTTTTGCTTAAGCAGGCGCTAAAGACATTCCTTCCCACTGGTGTCACGACCCCAAACTTTTGCTACAGTAAAATTTCATCAAAAGAGTAATTTTACAGTCTCAGAACCTTTTGAAACTAATGTTTTTCAGTGTAAATTTACACCTATTAGAGACAAAAATTGACGTCAGAAAAGTAAGCATTGGAAGTAGCAAAGATTTTCAAGGATGGTCGATGGTGAAAATGGTTGGAGTTTCACTCCCATGTTATCCTGCATAGATGTGGAAACCCTTAAACATCTTATCATTGTACAATGAGATTTCAACATCCAAAAACTTCAGAATGAAACGCAACATGATCATTTCTGGAAGAGGGGCATTCCAGTGTTGGTGTTTTTACCCCTTGTTTTTGTCCTTGTTCATTTCAAAACAAACCTCATTGATTTTGCCTTACAACACTGGCACTAATGAGAGAAGTATTAAATCAGAGACATAAGGAATATCCACGGAGGATGTCAGGTGGAGGGTTAGAGGGACATGGACTGTACCTGGTAGACAAGCTGAGCACATGGCTCTTGAAAAATCTTTCATGAATTGGGATGTTTACCCACAAAAATAGTCGTAAGCTGGGGAGAAATCTGTGAAGAAGTTGGAAAAAACACAGACTAAAGACCAACTCCTAAACGCGAACAACAACCAAAGTGCTCTCTAGTGCCCCGGGCTTCCTTTCACTTTTGTTTCTATTCTCTTTGAAAGGAAACACCCAGAGTTTTGTTTTCCTTCAAAAGAGGTGGAACTTCCCCAAGCATTTGTTAACGAAAATTCATACAAAACCCCTTCAGCAGCCAGAAATTTTCCTCCAAGTTAGTTTACCACTTTTTAATTGACTATTCACACGGCTCCCTGGGATGAAATTTCCTTCTTGGGGATTTATGAACCATGACAAAGTAGGATGGAGGCAGGTGGGGGTTTTTTTTTGGTAGGATCCTTTAGTGCATGTGCTAAAATCTGTAAGAAACTCCTGTTCTGAAGCTGATGCAAAGAGCTACTTTGCCCGAAATCCAAGTGAGTCCCGCTCGCCCCATTCAGGAAGGGGCTGGGATGCTGCAAAGCAGAAGGAGCCCCAAACGCCGCATTTAGTTTGCTGAGAAATCATAGGAGGAGATCATGAGCTCACTTTCAAGAAAATGTTAATCCTCCCCGTCTGACATATGTGTGTTGGAATTACACAGATTTGAACTGCTTTGGCAAACGGATTGAACGTTAGAGAGAGCCAGACAAATAAACTGCCTGCTGCCACGTTAAACGGGGACTCGGGGACCATTTTGCTGCATTATGACAGAAGAAAAAACAATTAATTTCCCTGTAAATGGTTGAATACAATGGCGTTACTCCTTCTAAAGATCTTATCTATGGTCAGGAGAGATGAAGAGACCTTTGTTTTAATTTTGCCTTGTAATTATATTGAGAACTTTCACCGGCATCCTGACACTCAGGTTATGGGTGTTGGGCAGGGGCCATAATTTCATATCGCCCTGCAGCAACAGTGAACTAATTCAGGTCTTGGCACTTGGATTTGAAATCCCAGTTTTCCACGGCTGCACTGTCAGCAGCCCATACCTCCGATGATTTTAAAGCATCTGCAGATAATCATGAAGCTGCTTATAATCCACAGCCTGTGTGGGTGGGATGAAGGTAGCAAAGCCCCAGTGAAAATCAACGGGCACATCCTTAAATCAGGCATGTGCCTTTGGAAAACTTCTATCTGGGCTCAACAGTTTGGAGGAAAATTTGCTAGCAGGAGTCTTAGAGGTTTGAAAACAAACCCAGATGTGACCTCAAATGTAGAAAGCCCAAAAACATACCTGGCCTTCACGTACTGTGACATTAAGCATGTCATGACCAGGGGGAGAAACCATGCTGAGAGGCTGCAGTGGCAGCACTGGGCTGGAGTTAGTGGCACAGGTAGAAGTTATATGCCCCATTGGCACTTTTCTGGGATGCACCAGCTCTACAGGAGAACCTACAGAGAAGGAGGGTGATGAGACACTGGCCCAGGTTGCCGAGAGAAGCTGTGGATGCTCCATAGAATCACAGAATGGTTAAAGTTGGAAGGGACCTTAAAGATCATCCAGTTCCACCCCCTGCCCTGGGCAGGGACACCTCCCACCAGACCAGGTTGCTCCAAGCCCCATCCAGCCTGGCCTTGAACCCCTCCAGGGATGGGGCAGCCACAGCTTCTCTGGGCAACCTGGGCCAGGGTCTCACCACCCTCACAGCAAAGAATTTCTTCCTAATATCTAACCTAAATCTCCCCTCTTTCAATTTCAAACCATCACCCCTTGTCCTGTCACTCCACTTCCTGACATAGAGTCCCTCCCCATCTCTCCTGTACCCATTTCAGATATTGGAAGGCTGCTATGAAGTCTCCCCAGAGCCTTCTCTTCTCCAGGCTGAACAACCCCATCCCTGGAGGGGTTCAAGGCCAGGCTGGATGGGGCTTTGAGCAACCTGGTCTGGTGGGAGGTGTCCCTGCCCAGGGCAATGGGGTTGGAAGCAGATGGTCTTTAAGGTCCTTGCCAACTCTAACCATTCTGTGATTCCAGAGCACAGCCTGGAGTCAGGAAACTCGGGGCCTCTCCTTAC